ATGTCTACTATTAGTCGCTGTGCGACTGCCTGCGAGGGTTTAAGTATGAGCCCCAAGGCACAACGGAACGAGCATGTTCCGTAACCTGATCGGTGAGCGCCCACTATCATAATTAATATTCCCGATCACAACCGACAGGACAGAGGCCAGGCTCTGCCTAGCGGCCACACACCGGTAACCACCTCCATCGGTGGACTAAGCCAGGTTGAGGGTATCTGGTGTTGTAAATCCCCCCATACCCGGTAAATCTGCATCTCCTCCCAACCCTACTCCCTTCCTGGTCTCCCTTCCCCCTATTCCCACCTCCAATCACACCCGACAAGACTATCCCCTACCCCCACCCATCCTCCATCGCCCCTTCCCTTCCCCACCTTTCCGTCCCCTTCTCCCTATCTATTCTACTCCATCCTCCACGGGCGACAAGTCCTACAGCGGAGGCAACATGCAGTCACATAGGCGGTCCAGGCCAATCGGGTCGTCCCCACGGCTAAACCAATTTGTTACCCATAGAGGAGTTGGGCAACTGTCTGAGGCGATTGAGCAGCCTTATTTAGGAACAGTACCGCTTACCCCCGCGAGGGGGAGGAGACTATAGAAAGAACCCCAAACAAATGCTGCGCTCACGACATCTGCACGCGGACCGTGACTCACAGACTGTCTGAAAAGTCAAACAGGAAACCACGATCTCTCCCCTCGCCCTCCTCCTCGCCTCCGTCCTACCCCACAGGCTGCTAGGATAAGCCCGTTCACTCTGGCAGCTTGAACTATTCGTTCACTTTTAGACAACCTCAGGAGCAACCGACCGGGACGCAGCACTGCTCTAGCAGCTCAAAACTGGAGCGCCGCAAGGTAAACATTGCCGCATTCAGCTACACTCGGCTCTACGAACGGGGGCCAACCGGAGGAAGTGGGTACGGGTCGCACTTTCTTCTGGAGCGGCCGCCAAAATGTAGAGGGCCCAGACGCTGGTGTCGCACTTGCCATCCGGAACGACATCGTGGGACGACTGCCCTGTCTGCCGCAGGGCATCTTCGGGATCCTATTTCACCATCATCATCAATGCCTACGCCCCCAATAACCGGCTCCGACAAGACGAAGACCAGGTTCTACGGAGACCTGAACACACTATTGGCGTCTGTGACGAAGGCGGACAAGCTTATTTTCATTAGCGACCTCGGTGCCTGCGTTGGGAGGGACTGTGCTGCATGGAGAGGAGTGCTGGGTCCTTACGGAATCGCCGATTGCAACGACAATAATCTTCTTCCGCGTGCCAATGTAAATTAAATACCGTTTTGTTGTTCTTGCCTGCTCCGCGTTTGTACTTCAGCAGTCAACTGGCCCAGCGGCTAGAATACCTGCCAGCGGCAGATGAAAACGCCTCCGTGGAGACTCGATTGTGCCAACTGCGAGACGCTGTTTAGTCGACCGCTCTGGCCGTCCTTGGCCGCGTGCGTCGTCAGCATCAGGACTGGTTCGACAGCAGCAGTCATCAGCAACCGGGTCGCCGAGAAGAACAGGCTGCATGAAGCCTACCTCGACCGTCCAGCCGACGCGAACAAAGCAGCATTCCAACAGTGTTACCACCTTGAGCAGCAACGGTTGCAAGAAATGCAAGACACCTGGATGACTCACGAATCTGAGGAGATTCAGAGACACGCCGACCACAAAGAATCAAAGAGCTAGTCTGCGGTCAAGGCTATCGGCGGCCCCTAACGAAAGGCACCATACCGCTCCTCAGCTTCGATGTATGGACGATTCTGGCAAGGAAGTCACAGATTTTGAAACAATGGGTCGAGAAGTTCAGCAGCGTCCTCAATCACCCCTCCACGATGTACAACCACGTCATCGACCGGCTACCCTAAGTGGAAAACAACGCCGACCTGGACCTCCCACCCTCTCTCACAGAAACTACGGACGCCGTGCAACAATTCTCCAGCGAGAAAGCACCAGGCCCCGAGTGATTCCGGCGGAAATCTACAAACACAGCGGCCACCAACCGATGAATCGACTCACGACGCTATTTCAGGAGGTGTGGCGTTGTGGGTTTGTCCTTCAGGGCTTCAAGGGCGCAAACATCCTTCACCTCTACAAGTGGAAAGCGAGTGGGTGATTAGGTGACAATCACAGAGACGTCTCGCTACGCAATAGCGCTGGGACGTTCTACGCTCGCATGTTCTTAGTCGTCTCAACGGCCACCTAGAGCAAAATCTCCTGCCAGATAACCAATGTGGATTCCGGAGACACCGCGCAACCGCCCAAATGATCTTTGCTGCCGCCAGCTACAAGAGAAGTTCCATGAGATGCGAGCTTACCTCTACACCATCTTCCTGGACCTGACGAAAGCCTTCGACATGGTAAGTCGCGAAGGACTATGGGGAATCGATAAGAAATTTTGCGGTTCCAGTCCATTCACGAACATGATACGACAACTCCACGACGGTATGATGGTGCGCGTCACGGTTGGCGGCGCAATTTCCGACGCATTTGCAGTGATCAATGGAGTGAAGCAGGGCTGCGTACGAGCCCCCACCCTCTTCAGCCTCATGTTTTCTGTCATTCTGATGGAGGCCTACCGTGATGAGCGCCTTGGCATCCCCACCACCTACATGGCCAACGGGCATCTTTTTAAAAACAAGCGCATGAGGACCATAATGCGACTATTTACGGCTACACTCTACGACCTGCTCTTCGACGATGACTGCGCACTCAACACTACGGCCAAAGAAAGCATACGACGGAACATGTATCTCTTCGACGTCAGTTGTGCCCACTTTGGACTGAACATCAACAAGGACAAACATTAGTCATGCATCGACAGTCACAGGATACTGAACACAGTGCCCCCCATCCACGTAAACGGCACCGTTCTGAAGACAATGGATAACTAGAACTTGATGTAGAACATGTGCAAAAAATTATCGGCCGGTGAGCCTAACGTGCATTTGTTGCAAAGTTATGAAGAGGGTAGTCAAAAAAGCCATCATTAAGTTCCCTGAAGAAAAGACTTGTTTTGCTAGTTTCCAAGACGGCTTTCGACGAAATCACTCCTGCTTGACTACTATATTCAATGGAGCAGTGGTTCCCACCGTTAAACGAAGGAGCAAGAGTGGATCTCGGTTACATCCATTTCAAAACAGCCTTTGATAGTGTTCCACACCATCAGTTACTTTACAAGGTCCGAGAGGCCGGGATAGGGGGAATCTATTAAACTGAGTGACAGTTCGACCATCGGTTTCGATGATGTCCACCGTGTGCCCCACAGTTGCAGCAGCAGTGGGAGCAGGGACGGTGACTTACGAAGGGGTTTATAGTGCCAGTAGACTTGCGTGGCATCTACCTACACTCTCTCCTCCTCCCTCGCCCGAGCCCGGTGTCAAGACAGAGTCAAGAAGACCGGAGACGAGGGAGGCCGCAGGTGGATGGCTCGGACGGATCCTCACCTTGGCGTTCCACCACACCCCCTGGTCCACACAACAATAACCAGGATATCAACCAACAACAGAGATTTGGAGGCTGGCACGACCGAAGCCGCACCTAGGCGTACCGGATCCCACACTGTAGTGGGAGTGCCATAAAGGCCACATTAAAAAGGAGCCATTGCAGCCTGACTCTCAGACCGCCTCCAGTGAAGGAAGAGGTTCAAGGTACCCCGTCAGTTGGCAACCTTCCAAGTCACGGCTTTTAGCGCACCGTGATAGCTTCAAGCGCGTCAGATTGATTATAGTGAGGAAAGTGTGCTGAGTCGTCGACCTCACTCTCCCTTCCCATCCAAACACCCCAGCCGCTGTCCGAGCCGGTCAGCATACTGGAGTGGGGAATGGGCGCGGTGGCTGACATGGTCGACTAACCATGCCTGCGTGCGCCACAGCACGACCTGGCCCGCCATGCACACACAAACACCAGAATTTCACACAACTGGGGTTGAACGGCGTGTCTCCCACTTGCGTGAGAGGGCCGTGGAAGGTGCTGCTTCAGCCCGTCCCCAGCCCACCAGTCCGCCACTCCACACAACACACACACACAACACGACGAACTGCGTGGACCGAGAGCGGGCGTCAATCAGCAACCTTCCTATCCACGACACTTGACGTGTCGGGATAGCCTCGGACTCAAGTCACCCGTGCAGCCGAGGCCGCATGGGGACCGAGTCGAGATGCACACTTCCCACTTGCGTGGAAGGTGGCAGTTGGTGCATGCGGTGGGTGAGTGTTGATGCGTAATGGTGATGGTGGAGGAGGGTATGGAGTGTGTGAATGTGTGGTGTAACCGGCGGTTGTCTACCGCAGGTCGTCGTGGATGCGCATGTGACCGAATAGACCCATGCGGTGCCTGAAAGTTCGAAGACAGTGTGGGCAATGGAGACGAGCTTGGTGGGTGTAGTTTGGTGCTTCAGGCACTGGTTCTACAGTCTCTGTGCGATGGATTCGCAAGTGACCGACCAGGCCGATGCGTGAGGTGAATGTTCGTGGACAGTGTGGGCATGTGAATTCGGCGGTGTCAGTGTCAGCCACAGAGGAGGCGTTGGTGGTGGTGCAGACGGATGGTGGGAGGGTGGTGCTGAGCATGATGGGCGTGGTTGGTGTATCGGAATTGTGGTCATTTCCGCTCTCGTGGATATGTATGTGGCCGAATAGACCCATGCGATGCATGAAGGTGCGAGGGCAGTGTGGGCAGTGGAGGAGAGTGCGGTGGGTGTAGGTTGGTGTGCCAGGCACTGGTTCGCCAGTCTCTGTGCGATGGATTCGCAAGTGACCGACCAGGCCGATGCGGGAAGTGAAGGTGCGATCGCAGTGAGGGCAGATGTAGTTCTGGCCCTCAGCTCTGATGATGGAGGTTGCAGGGGTTGTGCCTGTTGTTGTGCCAGGTGCGACTGTGGTGAAGTCGTGCGCTACAGACGCCGGAGTGGCCGTCGTTGCGGCAGTGAAGGAGGAAGAGGAGGAGGACGGGGCGGAGTGAGGGGTGGTAGAGTCGGTGGCGTCGATGTCGGTTGAGGAGTGGTTGGTGGATGCGCAAGGTGATGAATTGGGAGTGAGCCTCGGCGGGGTGGGTGTGTCGAGGTTGCGGGCAATTCCGCTCTCGTGGATGCGCATGAGCCTCCGTCTGCCTCTCCGGGGTGGGGGCGAATTCGCCACCATCATCAGCGCCTACGCTCCGTCGATGACCAACCCCGTCGCCGTCAGAGACAAATTCTACGAGGACCTGCATGCCCTCTTGGCGACTGTGTCGAAGGCGGACAAGTGGATTGTCCTTGGCGACTTCAACGCCCGCGTCGGCACAGACCATACTGCCTGGAGGGGAGTGCTGGGTCCCCACGGTCTCGGCGGCTCCAACGACAACGGCCTGCTTCTCCTCCGCACCTGCGCAGAACACCGCCTCATCCTGACGAACACGTTCTTCTGTCTGCCGGAGTGAGAGAAGGCCACCTGGAGGCATCCTCGGTCGCGCCAGTGGCACCTGCTGGACTATGTCCTCGTCCGGTGGTGGGTGTAGTGCGGTGGGTGTAGGTTGGTGCTCCAGGCAGTGGTTCGCCAGTCTCTGTGCGATGGATTCACAAGTGACCGACCAGGACGATGCGTGAGGTGAAGGTGCGATCGCAGTGAGGGCAGGTGAAGTCCTGATCCTCATCACTGGAGTCGGGAGAGGTGAAGGTGGTGTCGGTTGTTGTGTCGGGGTTGATGTGCTGGGGCAGTGGAGGAGGAGGATGAG